TAAAGTATTATCACAACACATGGGTCTTTTGACACATTTTATATACCCAGCTTCATAGAAATAGAAAAACAACTTGGGTAACCCAGAATAAAATATTTAAAACGAAGTACATACAAAGTTATGATGTATTAGAACATCAAAATGCAAGGTATTGCCTACACATTTTCATAAAAAGAAAGATTATAATTATATGTATACAGATAAAGATTGTACAGGCTTTAGGCTGAAGCTTGCATGCCAAGTCCATCATCGAGCTACCACTACAAACTAAATCCTGTTAAAATGCATGGCTTATATTTTTCTCCATTACTTATGGCTGAGCATAAAACTACCATTTGTAATAGTACCTGGATAAATTGTGTCGCTGCTTCAACATGAATTAATTAGTTATGGCATAAATATAAGCAAGAGAGGTGAAAAAAGGCTTTCATTCTGTACAATGTTTACATAAATAAGCTTGCATTCAGTAAGTGCAAAGTGGTATGTGTCACGATATTGTCTTGAGAAGAAAAACTAGTAAAGTTTGTAGCAGAAGTGCTGATGATCAGTGTTCATAATTACAGTCTGCTTGATACAGACAAGTGAGGATCAAGTTCACTTTCTATTTATTTATTTGTTTTGCCCAAGTCTAATTAGGTTAATTAATCTTGCTGCAGATCTGGAGCATAATAAGATTAAACATTACGAATGGTAGTGGACTTTTCCAGCCCATCAGATGTACTCTCCAGCCCCTAGGGATCTGTTTATTTTCAATTAGATCTGAAAATTAGGAATGCTCTGGCAGAATGCGGGGGAGCAACAGCACCTCTCTGAAAGTCTGCCATGGCCTGCTGTTCATGTTCACACTCATCTTCTGAGGCAACTCCGACATCCTAAGCCTTACTCCAAAACAATAACACACACCATTTTAGACATGTTGCATAGGGATTTGAGATGTGAGACTTTTGTGAAAGGTATATGTGTTTCTTTCTGTCATAATACATATTCAACATTTAAATAATGTCCAGCATGTATCAACTCCAGCAGTGTTCATACAGTAAGTTAATATTTCAAGTCAGAAGCTTACCTACCAGTTCTGAAACTCACTACTTAAAGGTCCCATGTCATGCTTTTCCGGTTATTACCCGTCCCCTTGTGTGTTATGTAGCTTTTTCTGCATGTAAACGGTCTGCAAAGTCAAAAACCCTCAAAGTTCACCCTGTAGCGAGTACAACTCTAACACATAAAATACCTGTCTATGCTGCCCCAGAACGCCTCCGTGGGGCTCCTCACACACACACACGCACACACACACGCACACACACACACACACACACACACACACACACACACACACACACACACACTCACTCAGCCTTATCTTTTCTCAGCCGCGCTACTCCGCTGAGTTTCGCTAGCACACACCTTCTCTTTTCTCAGCCTCGGCTCTATGGATCTCCACTCACAGTTCGCCACACACTCACGTGTGTGTGCTCAGGCTGAGTCTCGCTGTCTCACAGACCCCATGCAGCAACCAGGAAACGACACCATTAATCCATCTCACACAGTCCGCTCCTCGAGCCTCAAAGGGCGGGGCAGCAAGCCCCGCAACGTCCCGCCTGTACGGCACCCAGACCCCACGCAGGGGGGGAGCTCCAAATACACATACGATACAGAGATTATGTATGAGAAAACCAATGTGATTTTGGAACATTGAACAATGTAAATCTATTCTAGTAGACCTCAACAATGGAATTATGATCAGTAGAAATGGCCAACCTTTAAACACACAGCATAAGCAATAAAGTCATGCAAATTAAAAGTTAAGAGGAGAAGCCTCCATCTTAATTTATTCTTACCACTTAACATTCAAAAAATGTAAAGTTAAAGTGATAAAGCACTTTTGGATTGTTTAGAGTTGTGATAAAACTTGGAAATTTAGATATATAAAAATCTCCTTTATTATTCAATGGAGCAGAATGTATGTAAACATACCCCACATTTACCATTCAGATCGTGTAATCGATTACCTGAGGTAATTATGGAACGTTTTATAAAGGTGAGACACTAGAGGTTGATTGAGATATTCTTATACACCTGTGAGGTAGTTTCAGTCCATTTTGGTTTTAATTAAAAAAAAATCCATAGCGAGCGAAAAAAAAGTCAATTCATAGAATGGGAAAAACACTGCACGTCCAAAAACAAAAGTTGAACACTCTAATACTTAATTGGACTGCCTTGAGCTTCCAGTATGGCACCCAGTTGCCCTGGCATCATTTTCGATAAGCTGCTGGAATGTCACAACATGTATTTCTGTCGAGAGTTGCATTATTTTTCCGCCAAGATCTTGCATTGATGATGGGAGAGTCTCACCGCTGCACAATGTCTTCTCGAGCACATCCCAAAGATTCTCAATGGGGCTGAGATCTGGTCTCTCTGATGGCCAATCCATTTGTGAAAAGGATGTCTCATGCTGCCTGAACCACTCATTCACAATGTTAGCCTGATGAATCCTGGCATTTTCATCTTGGAATATGCCCGTGCCATCAGAGAAGAAAAACTGAATTGATGGAAATACCAGGTCATTCAGAATATACAGGTAGTCAGCTGACCTCATTCTTTGCGAACATAACGTTACTGAACCTAGACCTGACCAACTGCAGCGACCCCAGATCATAACAATGCCCCAACAGGCTTGTACGGTAGGCACTAGGCATGATGGGAGCCTCAGCTCATCCACCTCTATTCTTACCCTGATGACCCATCACTGTGGAACAGGGTAAATTAAGATATTTTGTATGTATGATCAAATGTATGATCATGCACAGAACTGCATACGCACATTCAACAGAATCCAAGGTGAAGAGGAAATCATTGAAAGTGTGTAGCTCGGCCTCGCTCAACCTTTATTGATCTGTTTCGGGCATGGTGAGGAAGCAGCAATCAAATGAATGCAAGGAAGATGGGATGAAGAAGTATAGGAGATGATGAGAGATGAGGGTAAAGTGTCACAGGAGAAAGAAAAGCAGATGGAGAAGGTGGAAGTGGAGGTGGAGAGGGGAGTGAGGATTTGCAGGAGATTGAAGAAAAAGGTTAGAAAGAAAGTATTAAAAAAAGAACATTCAGGAAGATTGAACTCGGGTAGACAGTACATGCTCAGTACTAGTGAAACTCAATGAAGTACTGTATATACTGCATGTGAAGGGAGGGAATATCGAAACAGTTTTTTTTCTTTCGTATTTTACATAACAATGTGTCCTAATTGTACCTCTTTTCAATCTCAACACAACTCATTTCGCCCACTCATCCACCTGTGTGTTTACACCGACAAAAGTGTGTTTTATTGATGGTTAAAGCTCATCTCTGCACTCCAGAGTGTCAGGGCATCAATGAAAAGGCATCATAGAGGAGGCAGTCAACTTCAGCCTCCACACCGACAATAAATCTGAGGGTGAGAGGGCCTTGTAGGGTATGTGAAAAAACTCGTACAGGCTGATGAGAAAGGTACATGACGCAAAAGGACACTCCGTCTAAAATGGGCTTCTGTCAACACAGAAATGGAGGCAATGGAGCAGCAGGAGAAGGGAGAGAGGGAGAGGAGCAGTGGGAGAAGGACAGCAGATGAGCTGTTGTCTCACAGCAGAATTATATTCTCTGAGTCTGTCAGACACTTGGAAATACTGTTGATTCCATTGCAGGGATTATAACTGCAGGTAGGTAGTGTACAATTGAGAAATAGACCAAGCACAGAGTGGTGAATTGGAAAATAAAAGCTGTAGGAGGAGAAACAACAGAGAATAGTGCAGACTTAAAAAGAGTGGTCTGTTTGAGTTCTGCATCCCACACTCACCTGACCTCTGCATGGATCACCATTTGTGGAGTCAATATAAGCCTTTTGCATTGTGGCACTATATATCTGTTTTAGATAATTTAACACAATTCAACAGAAAACTATAGGTTACTTACGTAACCCCAGTTCTCAGAGTAACATGAGGTGAGATGTCTCACTATGGGATGCGCCTCAACTGATATGCAAACAGAAGCATCAATCTCATTACGCCAATCCTGATTGGCGGGTGATCTTGACGCCTACGTCAGGGAATCCACCCACCCTATAAGTAGCTTGCGCTACGACGCAGCGTCATTCAAAATAAGCACCTCTTCTCGTTTCGCCTGAACAAGAAGGGCCGTCTGGTGAGACATCTCACTTCATGTTATTCTGAGAACTGGGGTTACGTAAGTAACCTATAGTTCTCATTCATAACACTCCGTTCGATGTCTCACTATGGGATATTGAAACTCCCGTATTGCTAGACATGCTTATCTCGAAAATCACCAAAACAACCAGAACAGTTAGAACACTGTCTCAACACGGGGCACAGCACTGCGCGGGCCACACTTGGAGCAGAGACATCTAGCCTGTAAAAGCGGACAAAAGTGAGCGGTGAGGACCAGCTCGCTGCTGCACAAATGTCTTGGATGGAAACACCCTTGAACAAAGCCCAGGATGTAGCCAGTCCACGAGTAGAATGAGCACGCAGGCCCGTTGGTGCCTGCAAACCCTGACTCGTATAAGCCAGAGCAATCGCTTCCACAATCCAGTGGGAGAGCCGTTGCCTGGTAACGGGCTTGCCCTTCTGAGGGTTAGCCCAGGATATAAAGAGTTGGTCATTGCNTGTCCCGCATTTGAGTGCCAGGCGACACCCAGATCCACAGTGTACCCCCCCCCCGTTGACAGTTCACGAGCGCGTCCATAGTGTCTCCCCCGATCCCCCGATCATAATTCCATTGTTGAGGTCTACTAGAATAGATTTACATTGCTCAATGTTCGAAAATGACATTGGTTTTCTCATACAGCATCTCTGTATAGTATGTGTATTCACTCTCTGTCCTACACGCCTTGTTGGAGCAATGGAGAGATGGTTGACCTTGTTGTATTTTAACTTTGTCCTTCTTTTTAAATTAGATGTTTATATATAAATAAATCTAGTAATTTCCCTCTTTGACTGTCTTTCTTCTAGCCAATGAAAAATATGTATGCGGGTGACGGCTCGCCTCTGTCTTCACAACTTGGCCCATACTTCTCTGACGGGCGGCGCCGGGTGGACTACGTGCTGGCATACCAAATCCAAAAGCCTGCCAGCATCCGGCGCCAGTCCTCCAGGTTCGGAGATAATAACTTCATCCGACGGTTCCGGCGCAGCCTGAGCATGAGAAGCAGCCGTGCCCCCCTGCAGCCAAAAGAAGACCCTGAGATTGCGGCCCAGGATCAACGGACTGACTACCATGAGGATGACAAGCGCTTTCGGCGGGAGGAGTTTGAGGAAAACCTCCTGGAGACGGGGCTGGAGCTGGAAAAGGACGAAGCGGTGAGATATAAATGTGATTTGACAATTGACCTATCTTTCAAGGTTTCAGTTGAAGCACTATACCTTTTTTTATTTTACAACATTAACATTGGCAATACTTGAAATTGTTAGTCCTATTTTAAACTGACTCCATGCTAAAAGGCTAATGCTAAAGCTGCATGTTCCAGGCAAGTCATCCTGAGCATAACGTTGTCATCCAGGTAGATTAGCAAAATTGCCCTTGGATAGCAGTGTTTACCAGTTAAACATGGTAAAATAAGAAATACAAGATCAAACCTTTTTTTTGTATCTAACATAAACCTCTTTGTCTTCTTAGTTTACAAAGTATATTATTTGTTTTTTCTCCTGGGAAATGGAATTGAGTGGGAGTAATAGATCTGAAATACATTTCCATTATTTCTTCTTATAAGTACCTACCTTCTATAAAATAGCTATTATACACTCTTTCTTCAGCAACATTTAGGATCAAAGTAAGTCCAAAGTGTAGGCCATTGACAAAGCAGTGAGTGTACTAGTCCCTATTTGGTCTGAATGAATATGTCTGCACACTTTAGTGAAAGAGCTTGAAGATAGGAGTGTGTGTTTTTGTGCACAGTATGTAAAATTAGGTGCTCAGTGTGTAACATCATTGTTTTTAACAGGTAGGTGTGTACAAAAGTGTATGATGATAATAAAATAGAGGAACTAAAGAAATACAGATACAATCTGAAAAAACAGGAACAATAATGATATTACTAAAAGAGGACAGAATATTATGGGTCACTGAGTGTTCAACAACACTAAGAGGCTGTGCTTGAGCTGGTATAATAAACAATGTTCAGCAGGAGGATTTAGCTTGTAAGTGGGCAAATATTTGCTAATTAGTATTTAACACAAAGTACAACTGATATTTGACAAGAGGGAAATCGTTGAACCGTTTGTGGCACGAGAAGTAATGTCAGAGGACTGAATACTTGCAAACATATTGTACAAAACTGTGAGAAGTAGCAAAGAAAGAAAATACATTTTGCCTTTGATTCCAGCGCATATTAAGTAAGCAAGTCTGTTTTTGATTGGCTCTAGCATGAAACTTAATAGGCGCTTTCACACCGGAGTTCTTTTCCCCGTACTTTTTACCCCGTACTTTTCCCGTTTGGTTCCGATAGTGCCTGGAATTTTGCGTTCACACCAAAAAGAGAACTTAGTTCAGAGAACTTTTACCCCCATTTTTAGTGCCTGCTAGAGAGGTGGGACTATCCTGGGGAGAAAAAAGTACCAATTTCTATTGGCTGGGCGAATTGCAAACCACGCCCCGTAAAACTCTGAAAAGTTTTTCGAAGCCGCCATTGTATTTGCTGGCATTAGCATTATTAGCATTAGCCCTGCGCACCAACGGAGAGAGAATAACTTATGGCAAAAAAAAACAAAACATGGGAGCGGTGGAGTGATGAGGAGGTGTCGAAGTTCTGGCGATTTACTCGGAAGGCTTCAGTAGAAGCTGCTGGGAGCAGCTTCTACTGAAGCCAGTCCCCAACTCCGGGGACTTCCGGCCGGGGACTTCAGGTGGCAGTGTACGCTTTGAAGTGGTTTGCGGCCTGCCAGTAAACCCAAAGCAGAAGAAGAAGAAGTGACTTCAGTGGCTTCATTTGCGTAATCTTCCCTCAGGGAACTTATTCCGGTGTGAACGTGATCTTATGTTGTTGCCTTTATAACTTCAAAGGAAAGGCTTATTTTCGGCAATGTAGTTCTTCTGAGTATATGCTTACATTTTAAATACTGATCAAATTGGTTTACATTGTATTAAGGGTAGAACAGACTGATCTATTGACACTCTTTTTAATTGAATCCCCGTCTTTAAAACTGACTCCAGAGAATTACTCTGGTGTTTATTTGTACATCTTATCTTATCTAAACGTGGATGTTTGGTCGGCTATATTGTTAGAAGCTCTTGTGTCACTGCTGAGTATTTGCTACGGGAGTGGACCCATGAACACAGGGACTATGTTTTCATTAACAGTGAACCAGAGCTCATCTCCTCGTCCGCTTTCTGTAGAAAAGCTAAATGGGGGGAAATTGACTCTTAGCACAATGAATCATCCAATAAAAACTGCATGAACAAACCTGTGACATAATGTAGCTTGATATTTAACACATTTAAAAAAGAAAAATAAGCTTTTAGCAACTCACAGTGTCAGGAGATGTCACTCTAAATGGTTTGAAATGTTTGGGCAAACTTTGGAGAAGGTGAACTATGGAGGACGATGAAGGCAGGAGTGTGCCTATAGATCATATTCTGTAGGGTGATCCATGATGGCAGCCTGGTGATAGATACAATTAGGTTTCCTTTTTCAAGTCCATGATGTTTTTTAAATATCTAGCCTTTGGGTTTTCATCACAAAATAATATATCCACTTTTGAAGGAAACTAAAATCATAAAGCTGTGCTTTACATTTTGCCCATTTAGTTTAAGTGTTGGTGGTGTTAGGTTTGTTCATGTGGACTAGCATCTACTAAGAAAGGTATAAGCCAATGTGGAAGTGCCCTAAACCGGCATGTTGTTTCTTAATTGATTTATTATGGTCTGTTAAGGTCCCAAATGCTAGTTTCAAGTCTTACGACATTATGTACATTTTGTAAATATGCTTTATCGTTAAAGCATAGGCTTTAGGTCTTGGCTAACTTGTGAGTGACGGATCCATTCAGCCCAATGTTGTATGGCTACATCATTTGAGCTTTCACGGCCAAAATAGTGGTTTTGTATTTGTTTAGCTGCCTACCTTTCACCACTGCATGGCAGCTGCATATTCTTTTGATGACAAATCTTGTTACGTGGACATTAACTCAAGTCTGGCTTGAAGGGGTCAGATACAGCACTAAGCAAGAATTGAACTATTCCTTAAAAAGTGCAGCTATGTTCTAAAAAACATTGTTGCATTCTGAAAAATAAACAAAATAACATCTGTCTCTTATTGACCTGAGTATATCAACCACAATTCTGTATTTATTTAAGCATATAGCAGAGGCTTTTGACAAAAGGGTCTAGGATATTATGCTGTTGCATTTTTTTCTAACTTTGGGTAGCTTGCTCTTTTTTCCCCATACATTTGTAGTCAGACCTGATTCAAACACTAACTAAATGATGAATTTATATGTACCATAATGGCTGTTTTTAATAAACAAACATATACACCCAATGAACATTGCCGGATCATTCCAGCTGCAGCAACCTTATTTCGCCACGGATTTACTCTATCAGTCACTAGCTATCAGCTCACAAACAGAAAATATTGATTTCACATTTAAATAACTGGAAAATCTCAGTGATGTATACCGTTAGTCAGCTAGTTGGAATTTGGTGGTTATCTATTTCTGTATCCAGACAGGTCAGTGTGCCGAGCTGAAGTGTGTGAAGTGAGTCTGGCAATGTGTGAGTGGTTTTACATAACAGCAGGCCTAGAGGCTGCAGAAACATTCCCATATGCAGCAATAAAGATGCGAGTTGTTTTTTGCAGAAATAGCTGCAGAGGATTTTTTCTTGGACTATACAAGTAGAGATTTCAGAACAACAACTTTCTGTTCTGCCAGCTTGTTTGTTCTGATATGTCAACAAAATATGCATTATTTATAGATGTGGTTTTAGAAAATAATGAATTTTCCCAATTTTATTTATTCAGTTTATTTCTCAGGGACATTGCATAGTCATGAACATGACTGTGAATATTATTTACTAACACAAGGCAGTTCAAAGTGGGTGCAAACAGAATATTATTTTAATATCCAAACTGTGTTTGTATTTCAGACTAAGATCTCTGGAATTGGCTTCTTGAAGATCCATGCTCCTTGGAACGTTCTGTGTCGTGAGGCTGAGTTCATGAAGGTCAAGATGCCAACCAAGAAGGTACTCCACCCATCGGTCAATCGCCAATTTGTCAAATGCATATTTCCCGTAGCTTTTTCTTGTCATTAGCATAATTGAACTGGTTCCCAGGGCTGCACTGCTTTGTGACAAGAGTGAAGACAAATGTTTCCTGTTCTGAGGCCAATTTGCGGTGAAAGCTCAAACAAGCCTTGTAATGTTAATTTGATCCAACCGGATTGCTAAATGTTACGGGTGAGCGAAGCAAGCAGGACCCAAACGCAGATAACACTGAAAATACCTTTATTTCAAGGATATGGATAACACGGACAATCAGAACACTCCCGGTGAACACAGTCACAGACAAACGACGAACCAACAATGACAGACAGAAAAAACAGAACCTGGATGGATATACTCGTGGATTCATCTTCCTATTATACACACATGCATTTCCAAACATTTGGACTACCTATGTTGCAAATTTATTATCTTTTCAATTTACACATGTGTGGGACATTCCTCACAGAACAGTCTCACTCACTGAGTCCCTAGGTCGGCACGCGAGAGGACGTGCGTCTCCTCGACGACAAGGGGAGAAAAACAGTGACCCGTTTCATACTGGAAAGCAGAGATGAAAAAGTGTCGCCGTCCATACATAAACAAGGGGTCGGAAGCAGGGCGGGAGTACCTTTTATAAGTACAATTACGATATAAGGTCCCTGCCGCTACGCGGTAATGCGTACCGCGTTATCCCGTACCCAATAATAGACTCCGTCCACACAGACACGAGATCAATGGCCCGCCTGGGTCACCCCGCGTCTGATGTATTACCGAAGCGGGAACTTGGGTTATCACTAATCGGAATCTCCCGCTTCGGTATATGCTTTATCTTGACTGTCAATGGATGACATTGGGGGTCGAAGAACTCATAACCGGCTTCGAGAGGAAGATTCACGACCCGGGGTGACCGAGGTGCTTATCGACTTCTTTTTCAATAAAACATACCCTCGTCTTAACGCTGGAGGAAGGATAAATATGGCCTTCCCTCGGGTTTCCCACCCCGGGTGGAACGCCCACGCACCTGATGTTTCACAAAGGTCACGACCGCGCCCAACGCGTCCCCCTAATGGGTTATCGCTATCGAATCTCCCGAAGCGGTTAATGAGTATCTTGCGACACCTCAATGTCATCCATTGAAGTCAAAAGAACTAACACAAGTGGACCACGGGGACACAAAAGAGGAGGGAGGAAGTGGACAGAGAACAAAGGAACTAATCAAGACACACATAAATTCAAGTTAGTTAGTTAGGTACAAATAAATATATCGGGTTATAGAGTGTTTTACAATGTAAACAGGAGTCACCTGAAGTGTCAAACATGGTCTTATAGTCATACTGTTTATGCTTGTGGGAGACAAGAAAATCTGGGAGTGTAGCATGTTTGCGTTGAAGGTCCTTTTGGGTGTCAAATTTCCCTTTTAACCCTCTTTGGAGTCCCTCTCGTTGTCTCCTCCCTAGGGAGAAGGGTCCTGCCTGGTCTGCACGT